ATGAAGGAGGCGTTACGATTAGCGAGAAGCTGTTTGATAGGGGACAGCAACTTAGAGGACAAAACAAAGCTGACTGTGGATCAACTGGGCGAATGGATAGCTTTGTGTCTCGACATGACTTATTTCAAATTCCGGTATAGAATGTAGACTCAAGAACAGGGTTTCGCCACGGGATCTCCAATATCCTCCGTATTAGCTAATATGTACATGGAAGTGTTTGAAAAGCAAGTATTGCCTAATTTCCGTAGTGCCCTGAAAGTATGCTGGTGCTACATGAAGGACACATTTGCTCTTATGAAAAGATATAGAAAAGAGGAAATGTTAGACTATTTGAACTTCATTGACGATGCGATAAATTTCACCATGGAACTTGTGTCGCAGAGCGGTACACTTCCGTTCATTGATAGTCTGATCCATAGGAACGAAGGAACGTTGAAAAGGAGAATGTATCGCAAACCAATGGACACAGATGGGATATTTAGCTATAGTTCAAGCCACCCGAAGCACATGTGCGCGGGAACCGCGTCATTACTGTTTCACAGATCAAGTGCTCTCTGTACGGAGGAAGAATATAAGAAAGCAGCGCAGCGGGAGGCGATACAAAACTTAATAGCAAGCGGATATCCGAAACGATTGGTGAAACGACAGCTACAGAGATGTCTCAACCCACGCACAACATCAATCACAGAGTGGATAGCTACAGTGGATATTCCGTGTAAAGAAACTTCGGAAGCAATTCGGAGAGTAGTGAATAAGGAGAAGATAAGGGTAGTTTTCCAGAAGGGTTGAACGCTACGGTCCACGCTTGTGCATCTGAAGGATGCACACCACTTAGATAGAACAACTAACTGCATTTACAAAATTCCACGTAAAGATTGTATATAGGTATAGGTATATATAGGTATATAGGTATAGGCTCCCGTAATGATAACGGTGACCGGTTACTTCATTTGTGTGAGGATGCTCGCTTATTTCTGGCGAGCACTAATTCCCGACACAGCACCCGCCGGAGGGTGACTTGGCGCCCACCAGCCTCGTACCAGCTATGGACGCAAATCGATCACATTGCTATCAGTTACCGATGGAGAGGCTGCGTCCAGAACTGTCGCTCGATTTGGAGCACATGTGTGGACACCGATCATGCACTTGTATGTGCTGACATGCGGATGCGCTTTGGCGGACGCCCACGACGACGCTGTGAGCGCATTGACACCAGCCAACTGGCGAAGCCAGTTGTTCTGAATGTCTATCAAATTACGCTGTCATCCGAGTTGGATAAACGCTCACTGGATACAATTGAAGCTCACTGGTCTCATATCCACCAGGCCTTACTAGCAGCAGGCAAATCCTCATGTGGTATGTCTAATCGCCAACATGGACATTGGGTCTCTTCACAGTCTCTGAAACTTATCGATGCTCGCCGGCATATTCCGGCTGGAAGCGAACACAATGAAACTCGCAAAGAGCTCCGGACGAAACTCCGCGCTAGCCTGAAGAGAGACCGCGAACCCTGGTGGTCTCATCGTGCAACGGAGATGGAAATGGCCGCTGCCCATGGTAACTATCGTGAGTTATTCCGTCTGATACAGGAAACGGGCAGCAGTAGACCTGGTGTTAGTGAAACTATACGTGACGAGAGTGGACAGCTTATCCACAACCTATCAAAACGCTTGGAACGTTGGGCTGAGCACTTTGAAAGGCAATTTAATCGGTCGGAATTGTTAGATTTCTCGCCGACCAGTGATCGCCCTGCTCCCTGGGCTGGTCCTTTGGATCCACCATCTCGCTCAGAAGTCGAACGTGAGATCGAACTGTTGAAGTTAAATAAAGCCGCGGGACCTGATGACCTTCCTCCAGCCTTCTTCAAATTCGGGGGACCTGCTCTTGTGGATGGTCTAAACGAGTTACTAGTGAAACTGTGGGAGCAGGAAACTGTCCCAGCCGATTGGAGCCGCTCCATCATGGCCCAAATTTTCAAGGGAAGCTCACGATCGAAATGCGGCAGTCATAGAGGAATCAGTCTGATCTCCATCGCCTCCAAATTGCTTGCCTCTGTCATTCTTCGCAGACTGACTGGCACTCGTGAAAGCCAGATTCGTGAAGAGCAAGCTGGATTTAGTCGAGGTCGTGGCTGCATTGACCACATCTTCACTTTGCGTCAGTTGTTGGAGAACCGTCACACATATTGGCGGCCCACCGTTGTCGTATTCCTCTATATCAAAGGTGCATTCGATTCGGTGGATAGACATGCACTTTGGGACTGTCTACTCAGGAAATGTGTACCTGAGAAATATGTGAATATTATCCGAGCATTATATGCGCGTAGCTCGGGCAGAGTGAGGGCTTACGGCAAGTTGTCGTCGCCCTTTAATATTTCCAACGGCGTGAGACAAGGATGCCCGCTGTCGCCTTTCCTCTTCAACTTCGCTGTTGACGAAGTCATGGAAATCGCGTTCACAGGACACGACAGGTGTGGAGCTACTCCCAGGAGAACGACTTCTTGACTTAGAGTATGCTGATGATATTGCCCTGATGTGTGACAGCTCACAAACGTGCCAAGCGGCACTGGACAGATTAGCACTAGCTGTCCATCACTTCGGGCTTTGCTTCGCACCTCGAAGTTCAAAGCGTTTCTCCATGATTGGTCTGGACCACCTCCTACGCTGACCCTTGGTGGCAATCAGCTAGAAGTCGTTCAAAAATTCAACTACCTGGGAAGTTGTATCAGCGCCCGTGGGATTGAAGATGAGATCACGAACCGTATAGCAAAAGCTCGGGGCGCTTTTGCTAACCTTCGCCACTTGTGGAGCCGGCGCGACATCACTCTTGCCCTAAAGGGTAGATTGTACAATGCAGCAATACGTTCGACCTTACTGTACGGTTGTGAAACCTGGCCGCTTAAAGCAGCGGACCTGAAGAGGCTAATTACGTTCGACCACCGGTGCATTCGTAATTTAGCTCACATCTGGTGGGAACACCGCGTGAGCAACGAGCGTGTTCGACGCCTTGTTTATGGCGCAGGAAAAGGAACTGAACCGCTCAGCACCGTTATTTCACGCATCAGGCTCCGATGGCTCGGCCACGTGTTACGCATGCCAGCCCACCGACTACCGCGACGTGCGTTGTTTGCGCGCCGGGGGTGTGGATGGAAGAAGAGGAGGGGCGGCCAAGCGATGACTTGGTCCAGAGGAATGAAGGCCTTCACTTCTGAGCTGGCCTCGGTTGGAGCGTCTCTGCTCCCTGGTTGGGGTCCGAAAGACGATGAACACGTTTGGTTGGACACACTTGCTTATATGGCTAGGAGCCGACCTCAGTGGCGTTCGTGCTGAGTTTCTTTGTCCCATCCCATCCCTCTTAGCCTCCCCGTCCAACCACGATCTCATTATTTAGCCTTATATAATTTTGCATAGTAATTTTTTTGGTGCACAGCAGCCGACTGGTAGCTTACCGGAACGATGCCTATCCGTTACCGGTAGCTCAGCCAGCTTGCATCAGTTGCATTTTTTTCTCCTTTTTTTCTATGTATTGCGGCATAGTAGCTGAGGTGTTCCCCACCTCTAGCTAACGTGTATGATGATGATGATGAGGAGGATGATGATGTAAAGATTGTGCGCAAGTGAGTATAGGTCAAACAGCGAGGGAATTATGTACAAGTATTTCAGAACATAGGCGACACGTATTACAACCTCCACGAAATGAGCTAGAGTATGGAGCTCTACTCAGAGACTCGGCAATAGCAACGCATGCACTAGACAAGGGGCACGAAAATGAATTCGAAAATGTGGAAGTTATCAGGAAGGGATTACGAGCAGCCAAACAAAAGGTGATTGCTGAGGCTATAGAAATAAGCAAGGCTAACAAATGCGTGAATAGATTAGACAGAGTAGGGCTGTCTAATACCTAGCGTCCAGTCTTACTCCGGACAGGTTGATAAGCAACGGTGGATGGATTCCAAACCGAATGCATTATCGACCGTCCCTTCACTAAATTCTGAAATACTAAAGCCAAGTTCCTTGCAACGGAGCACTTAAGATTGCTGACCACACATGTAACTATCCGCGGACCAGCAATTTCTTTTCCCCATTTGATCCTGATTGCCACACACCACAGTGTACACACGAGCTTACCGACCTTCGACCGTTGTAATCTTTCATTGATGAACTGCAAATTGATTAGTCTCTGTATGTAGCTTAGCCATGATCGTTATAAAATGTCAATGTTAAGCTAATTCACTTCGCCTTATGAAGCTTTTGTGTCAAAAGCGAAACGTTATGTGTCACCAAGTTTTCTGAAAAACTAAAGTGCAGTACACAGTGTTTCCCATGCGGAAACCCGATAGCGGGCTTCAGTATTGGTCACCCGGTATTCCGACCACATGTAGGCAGTACTGTGCACGCAACCGGTGAGCAAAACGGTCAACCTATTGAGGTTATACTAGCCTTACTGGAACATAGCACACCCTACACTTGAGTGAAAAGTTGAGGTGCCGTCAATTCTTGGAATGTCACACGAGATCTGCTGATGTATAAACTGACCACAATGACATGACCACATATATAACAACCGATCGATCACTTCTAATGGCTGATCTCTGAGAGAGCAAGAACCGCTGACGTATCGGCCAGTCCACGCACAAATGAAGACTACCCAAATCTCGGGCGGCGTCGTTTGGCGACGCAGCAGGAGGTCAAATGATGACCCACGGCAGAGACCGACAGGGGTTGAATCGAAATGCGCCATCCTTCGCACTTGAAAGGAAGATTCGGGATAGACCATTTTAGTGACTGAATGTCCCAGTTGATGTGACGCAATGAGAAATTCACTGGATGTTTAATCTTTCGTTCAACTGTTGGTTTCTACGGGCCGCCTTCAGTGACTCGATAGGGGGAACCATGTAGTCAAGTGCGGTGCTGGGATCCAGAGTCATTCAATATTTTAGGACGGGATAAAAGCAGACAAGGAAGACAAGAAGACGAAGGGTTGATCGCATAGCCTCTTACCTTGCCATGGTCTCCGTGAAAAAGATCCAGGAACGACGCTTGTGTGCCTACCGCACCTTTGACACCGCGGAATCTGATGGTGTGATGCCGGAGACGGTCCAAATTGGACAGGTCCATGAGCAACTCTTGGATCCACATACAAATTCGTCGGCCCATAGTGGTAGGTTGAGCTGGTTGCAGATGGGTACGTCCGAGACAGACGAGATTTTTGTGCAAAAAGGCTTGTTTGGCCAAACGGTCTATGCAACGGCTAACTTTTACGGCGAGTAGTCCAATCGCATCACGCAACACAATCAGATCGGCATTGTCTCCAACGTAACAAGAAGTGGCGCCTGATATAGAGGAAGTGCGATATGAAAAAGAAAAATGATGCATCCGTAGAAAGGCAACAAGTAACTAAGCAAGCGGAAGAAAAAATCGGGAGGAGTGGCTTTGCAGGTAAATAGAATCACAGGGTCACAAAATACCTAAGAAGCCATCACAATGTCAAGTTGCGATGTCTGAGAACCGGCTTACAGCGGTTAGAGTTGTGGTAGATGCAATGCACTTGGGAACCAGACAGCAACACTTTACAAACAAGTCAATCAGGACATGAAACTAAGCGAAAACATTGGGATACACAGCAAATGTTGCCATCATCTACTGCAAACACAGACAAAGCCAGATCCCATCATACTAGTTGGATAGATGTTTTAACATCGAGACGCGTACCAAACTTCTGTCTCAGAGACCAGAGAACCATGTAGCTCCGTGTACGCTTCACTAACTTTCGTGATGAAACCAAAATACAAAGGAAATATAATATTGAGGGAAATTTGTCTCGCACGCCAGTGACCACAGTCGAATTTAGACGTAGCTTTAACTAGCAGGAGATGTAGAACGGTACCACCGGTGATGCATCACTGCTCAATCACATGGCCGATGCACGCGGAACATATCAAACAAAAAAGTGTGGTTGATCAAAAGTGTAAACCTGATGGGATTGCCATACAAATGTCCCAGAAGTCGGTTAGTGAATTTCAAAAACACCCCGGAAGTTCATCAGAGCGGAAAACGATCATCACATGTGCAAATCAAGTCACAATAGTAGCAGGTCTAGCCATTAGGTACCACCATGTGTCTTGGTCGCAGGCACTGCGCCAGTCCGGTGGTCCAAGGACAAGGGAAAGAACGACATCCGCCTGGATGGTGAAAACAGGGCCTGACCCTGTTAGTGCCACCCCAGGGGAGTGGGAGGTTCGCAAAAACCTTATTGCCTCAATGTGAACAGTATGATTTCTCGTTAACGATCTACGACCGACTCCATCGTCCTGAGAGACCAAGGTGAGCCGACGATTGACTCAAGCGATTGTTGGGCAAATGCTGAAAGTCCGTCCTGAGATAGCTGGTGTGCCACAGGTGGAAACAAATACTTGTAGTGGGCACGTAAAACGGAAGCTAATGTTCCCAAGCGCTTGATTTTGGGCTAAAGTATAATGGACCCCCAGCCCCACCTGGATTCTCACGAGGATAATGAGACTGACGATCTGACAGGTGCACGTTACTCACAATGATGTGGAATGTGTCATCTAGTGTAGTCCATTAAGTTACTGACGTATTAAATTATTCTCAGGTTTCAACTAAACGTGATTTTGTTTGAAGTTAGCAGAGCCACATGGGACTGGTGAGATCCCGGGTTATATTCCCGAGGTGGATGCAACCAAATTGACGTGTAGAATAAGTTCTCCAAAGGAACACTAGAAGATTGAAAACAAAAGAGTAATATGTGCGCAAAGAACTCCGACATCACATTTAGCCCTTCCTAGACGTAAACTTAACATGCAGCGAATCACCTATTTCTGACTATAGAACAGCCGATTCTAGCTTCACTAATGGAAACAGAGCTAACAGCCACATTAACAGGGGATTCGCACTGAGTTTTATAAATCCTGTGGAATACGTAGATTCGGTGAACAGGATATATTCGCTGTCATCTTGTACTCCTTTGAGAGAGATGCTAGTGCTGGATGGCCCGGATGCACAGCCCCTAACCTCCGGCACTGAGCGTGCGTCCGCGCTGGCGGCCCACTTCGCTTCTGTATTTCCTACTGACCAGGTGTATGTTTCGAGTTTGACGTGCAGCGCTTTTACCGAACTTGATAGTCTGCATTGCGGCGTTGAAGAGGTATGCCAACTACTCGCCAACCTTGACGGCACCAAACCTGCCAGAACTGATGGGCTTCACCCACTGGTTCTCAAATCACTTTCGACCACCATCTCTCCTGTCGTGACTGACCTTTACAACAGGTCGCTGTCCGAAGGTTCGTTGCCAATTGACTGGAAATGTTCGGTGGTGAAGCCTATTCCGAAAGGTGGCAACGGTAGAAAAGTAGACAATTACAGGCCAATTTGTCGGACACCTATTTTGGCAAAGGTTGCTGAGAAAATCGTGAAGAAGAGATTGCTGCAGTTGCTACAGTCAAAAGAGGTCCTGACGCCCGCACAGTACGGTTTTATGCAAGGCCGCTCATGCATTACGAACCTGCTTGTGACGAGGCATGAGTGGTTGAAGGCAATAAGCAAGGGGAAGTCTGTCGATGTGCTATTCATCGATTTCAGCGAAGCGTTCGACAAGGTCAGCCACGAGGTTCCCTTTCACAAACTCAGGATGTGTGGTGTCGGTGGCTCATTGCACCGGTGGATCCGCGACTTTCTTGTTGGACGAAAGTGGAGGGTACAGGTCGACGACCATCTAACTGACTGGTAACTCTCTACAAGTAGCGTGCCTCAAGGCACTGTGTTGGGGCCCACTCTGTTCCTGATTCACATCAACGATCTACCTCAGCTTCTCCGATCGTCGTGCGTCTTGTTTGCGGAGGACATGAAGATTTGGAGAGAAATCGACGCTCCCGATGACTGTGGGCTACTTCAGCAAGACCTCAACCGCCTATCCACATGGTCTGTAGAAGTTCTTCTCCCGGTCAACCCAGCCAAGTCTGTATTTATGAGCCTGAGGAAGGGTGCTGACGTCCGAGCCTACACCCTTGAAGGCCAACCGCTATATCCCACACCCTCTGTGAAGGACCCAGCTGTACTCTCACGCTACGTGGACAATACAAACAGGCTATATCGTAACGGAGTGCGCATGCTTTGGGCGCTCAAATTTAGCTTCGGCACATGCTCTGAAGAGGTTGCCACTCGCCTCTTTTCTTCCACCATTAGATCAATGCTAGAGTACGGTTCGCCCGCCTACTTTCCGATTACCCGAGGCGAGGCACAAAAGATCGAACGGGTCCAACACGTTGCTACAAGGCTCATTCCGAGCTTACGTGGCTTGGGGTATGAAGACCGGTGCGAGAGACTAGATCTCTACACCTTGTCCTACCGTCGGGTGCGGGTCGACCTCATTATGACCTACCGTATTCTACATCTCGGTGACTTCCCAATGATAAGGTCAATGCTGCACTTACGAGGGTCATGCAGCACACGCGGACACAGATACAAACTTGTCGTGCCGGATGTGAAATGTGTTCCCCACCCACTGTGCTTCGAACGGAGAGTGGTAAACATTTGGAACAGTTTGCCTGAACATGTGATTGAGGCAACATCTGTGCAACAGTTCAAAACGTTGTTAGATTTGTATTTTGCCACTATTCGATTCAGAGAACGACTGCACACTTAAGAGGACGGATCACATTTGTGAATCCTGAAATATCGCAAGTCGAATATTTTAAATATTACATGAGAACGACAATGATATTCACGGTTGACAACTTTTATAACATTTTTCACCATATTTCGAAAGAGTTGTACAGAATTCATTTCTACTTGCTCTATAATACCGTATTCAGTATTCAGCATGTGGCGAATCGACGGAACACGGCTATGTGGTAATGCACTCACAATGCACTTTCGAGCATCAAATGCACATTCCTGTGGTGAGATTTGCGGTTTTCCATTCAGCTCGATGCTGACTGAATGCAACATGGTACACACTAGGTTGGAGTTGCAGTGAACAACCTAATGAAAGACCGTTTATTTGAAGAAACTCTGGCGAAAAGCTGCGCGCGCATAAGTGAAGTGTAAAGCCAAACGACAGCTACTAAGGGGAGTGAAATAGAGGGGTTGCACCGATCCGAACACGTTTTCGCTGATTGTAACCAAGAAATAGTAGGGGGCGAAATCCATCATCCAAAAAAGAGGGGAGGATGGAACGTATGGGCACCGGATGCAGGCAGATTGCGAACATACACTGGACAGATGAATACGGCCCACTTGGGGTTGATGCGACAAAATAAGTTATTCCCAAGGTGGTTGTGTTGCTACTTACTTACTTTACTTTAATGCGGCTAGCTCCTGAGACAAGATGAGCCGGCTTCATGTATGTCGCGAATTGCAGCTGTCCAAGCGCGGCGGTCGGCGGCAAGCTTCATGCAGATAAAGATCCAATGATTTCTTCAGTGACGAGTCCACGAAGATCGACATCCGATTTCACTGCAGCGGGCCACATTTTCAATTGTCCACCACGACGACAACACTAACCCTGGCAAGACGAGGGTGAAACCACGGCCCTAGTGAAGTCAATGTCTGGTCTGCGGAGGACGTGACCGAACCACTGAAGTCTGCGGCGTGGGTTAAGCGCTGAGAGCTTCGGAAGACTGTAACAGCACTTACGAACTTCGTCATTGGTGATACGCTCATGCCACTGCGTTTTCAAAATAAGCCTTAGACACCAATGTTCGAAGACTTCCAGCTTCCGGTTGCTGAGAATACTCCGATCTTCGTTTTCAGACTAATTTCTGCTCCTCGTCACAATGCTTCTCAGCCGTAATAAGGCTGTCTTAGCACTGTCAGTACAATTCCGGATTTCGGATGTAGCCTGACCATCGGGAAGTATAGTGGATCCAAGATAATTGAACTCAGGAACAGATTCGATGAGTTGTCCAGGTAAGGAGAGCGACGGGGCGGACTGGGTGGCTGAGGATGAGAAATACTTCGTCTTGCTGATGTTAATTTTGAGGCCGATCATGGAGACTGATTGGTCGACCCGATTTAGTAGTGACTGTAGTGATATACATCTTCCGCAAGGATAGCGATATCGTCAGCAAATTCTAGATCTGACAGCCTGAAGTCAGGGCTAACTTGAACACCACGATAGCCCTTAAGAGCATGAGGCATAACCCACTCGACTGCAAAGTTGAACAGCACTGGAGAAAGTGGGTAATCCTGCCGGACTCCAGATGTCGAATTCCTTTGTTTTTTCGCCATAGACCCGAATCAGGGCCATCGTGTAACGGTGGTATGATCTCATCAAGTTAACGAGTTTCACCGGCATGCCATCGGCAAGTAGGATTCTCCAGTGCTTCACGGCACACTGAATCGAACGCAGCTCGAAAAGCAACGAAGCTGCTACCGCCATGTTTGTATCCGTGCGGACAATGGGTAGCCGTATATGGACGGCTGGCTTCTGGATGGCAATCACAGTATGCGGTAATATTGCCAGATCATATCACGGCGAACAAAATCCACTTCGTAGAGTGCAGTAAGTGATGCAAATCGCCTATGCATGGTGTGGATTATAGAACAAACGCAGCCCAGCAATGAAACGTCCACCATTTCAATGCAGTCATGGGAAGTATCTGCAGAAGTTTGTGTTCAAGTATAAAAGCATCCATGCAGCCTCAGTATTCACAACAATTCACTATTTCCGACAAGCCTCTGAAACGAATTCACTTATCCCAACCCATGGTTTGAAAATATTTAGTTATTCGAAACGTTTTGCCTACATTGTGCCGATTCACTTGCTTAGGGCTCGCTTCGTAGTTTAGCCTATGCATGTGAATAACCACCTAGGCCACCAATCTCGGGTATATAATAAGTGAGGCTGCGTAACGCTGTTCCTACTCTGCTGGGTCACTAAAAATGTCTGTTGCAAAGTTGCAAGTTTCGCCCTCACTGTCGGGGTCGTGTAGATCAGTGTTGGGTTCATGCTCGTTCTACTAAACTCACAAGGCTGGCTAGCCGAACAACCTCCCCCCGTGGTGTCAGCTGTGGTTCGGGTTTACCCCGTTGCAGCAAATAGTTCGGCGGCGTGGGGGTCTTCGACTTGGAAAGCCACAAACATTTGTTTAACAACACTGCGACGTGGCGAATCTGACTCGCTACTAAACAAATTCACTGCCCCATGCTTATCCGGACAGTCGTATTCAAACCACAGACATAAAACATCCCTTCTGACAATTGCGACGTGAGCAAACACAGTCAAAAGTGCCATTTATGAACCTAAGCAATATAGCCACACACACACACACCTATATAAATTTGTGGATCTACAGATGTGACAATCCAACATTACTTTTGCACATCGCTCGAGCACTCGTTGTTGTGTCGCCGCTGACTGTTCATACCCTCACGACCGCAAGAAGAACACGGAGATGAGCCAGGACGTTAGTTGTATGCATGAGAACACTGCTTCCCCATATAGGGTACAATAGTCTATGAAGCACAGCTACAAAATCACATTGGAGCCAATCAACATCATAGGAAACAACAAATAATAGGAGCGAATGAGAAGGGGTAAAGGAAATAACCAATCATGTGAGTCCGAGGAAACGGAATTAGCAGCAATAGACCCCTGAGATAGCGTCCATTATGAATGACTTACGCCAGACAATCGAAGTAAAGGAATGACACGCTTAAACCAATGTCAAGAAATAAACGATGGCGAGACGAAAGCAGGCGACTATGGATTGTAGTAAAAATATATGTCCATTGAGCATCCCCCTAACATTCATGTCTCTGCAAGCGTGCATCGCGTAGTCGAGAATGAACTGTTGAGTTAATTATTTATAAATGATCTGGCGACTAAGTCTCACGGGTCGCACAAATCGAACTCTGTCCGCTACTTTTCCGTGTGTGTGTGTGTGCGTATGCAGTCCACAAGTCGTTCGTTATAAAACCACGCCGATACAGTAGCCGTGGGCAGTCAGATCAAAATGATGAACGTCTGGCACGTGTGTGGTACAATGCCGCTGCATCCAGACTCCGACTGGCCGACGGATAGCATGTGAGATTGAGGCAGTTATGGATAAGTGGAGTGATCGAGGGTAGATGGGTCAAAGCAAGACGGAAAGAAAAGCGCCATCGTATTGACATGACTGCTGTCGCCAATGTAGATAGTGGTGACAAACAAGCAGCGCAGCACCATGAGAAAGAAATCGATGGTGGGAGATAAGAAGCGGATGAAGCTGACAACAATCAGAACAAAAGACTGTTGGTGAAAATACTAACGGAGGTGAGGTGAGCGCACAATCACAGATCAAGTGAGAACCGCCGCAGCACCCGGGTGGGTATTCCATTCACAAGTGAAAGCAAACACTAAGGTAGTTTATCGAGTAATAAGTAGATTTAGTGCGAACAGGCGAAACAGAGTTGTAATGCGGTCGCATAGTAAGTGAGGCAACGACTCTAACTGAGAGAGACCGAAAAAAACAACGTTGCACAGTACGGTCGATTTATAAACGTAGACCAGAGGTGGGAAATATTGGAAAATATTTCGATGACGGGATACGGCAGGTGGGTCGTGGTGCGTGTGTGTGTTCGGAGCGAGCAGCACCGAAAACCCTGCACATACTTAGGATACGGCACTGGTGACTGGAGGGATTGAGGTCTACTTAAAAGAAAATCTCAAAGTAGACGAATAGAAATTAGCGGTCCTAATGTATACACACGGTGAATACTCTCCAAAGACTAACATTAGAAGTCAGTTTCCTTATGAATGTGTTGCACGTCAAAAGTTAATCCAGCTTGAGTTACAGTGAAGTAGTTCACAGGAAGGACTGAGCGTTGGGATGATACACGAATAGTTTATCGTATGGACCATGCTTCATTCTCAGTTAAATATGCAAACCGAATCAAACGGTTGGAAAGTGTACAATGGTAACCTGAATAAAATCTGATTTAGTTTAAAGCGCTGTTTTGTGGGGCTGCAAGGAGAGAGATGTGCTCGAGTACCATCATAGTATGCTCAAATGTAAGCAAAATGACCTGAAATTTAGCGCAGTTTAGATAGCGAAACTAATAAAACAAAAAATCAACGCACTATTAGCGGAAACTGCGTGTCACGTGTCAACAGGTTGATGGTTAATTAACGCTTTACACCAACGACTTCCTATAATGTGATCTGAATTACCAATACATACGTGGCTGTCAAAATACTGCACGGCGAAAATGGGGGGAGTGAAGGAGAAGCTAAGTTGGATGGATGAGAATACGACGACTGAACTTAGCACGTACCGAGGTGGATAATGGGTGAAGCCTTAGGACAGACCACAGCGAAAGCGTACACGTGAGCCATTACATCGTGCCGTCGAGCCTTCTCCTCGGTGGCAGCTGTCGCAAAATCAATGTCATCGCGATGAATACGCATCTCTTCGAGCTGCTCATCTGAAAAAGTGGAGGGCACGATGATAAAGAAGTGTAGACGACTTTGGAGCCTAAACATGTGAAGAGAGAGACAAATTCAAATGATACGGTCAGCAGGAGCCAGCTGTTGAACGGGATAATAACATAATCGACTTCAAAAGGTGTGGACAAGATTCAGGACAGCAAAATTCCAGTGCCTTGTGGTTATGACTTGATTTTGTACAATTATGATGAGTAGAAACATATGTCTTTAAAACATATATATATATCTCTGAAATGTGAGAAACCGTTCTAAGATAGGAACCGATAGTTCACAACAGAGTCACCTGCGAGGGATCACCATGCTGATAATTATCCTAAACAACAGAAGTACTGATGTTTCGTTGTCAGACAGATAAAATGACCAGAACGCTAAGGAATGATAGAAAGGAGGGCAGAACATAGCGTAGAGTCTGGATACTGCAAACAATGATACAGATACAAAACGAATAAATTTTTCGAACACCACAAGATCAGAATCGGTTGTGGAGGAAGGAAACGGTGGCATCAGCAGCAGAAAGTAGCGAAAGTATGAGGAGCCTGGCAGAAAAGTGACTCTGAGAATCCTTTTATTAGACAAAAGAGATTGCGAAGTACTCCCCCAGTGAAGAGCTAACAAGTAAGCAAATCGTGGACTGCCCGGAGTGACTAAATGATGTGGGATTCTGTCCTACTCAACAGACAAGATCACTCCGAGTAGTCTGATGAGTGCTGCTGCGACTAACCAGGCCGGATGGCAAAGACCACAACCGTCAAAGCTACAACTTTCAATACTATAATCGCTACCATTATAAACACCACTATGGTAGCGGCTTTCCAGGATTAGGCGTAACTTCATCAAAAAAGTAAAAATTCGGAACCCAGATGGCGCAGGTCAACGCGAATGAATCTCGGTACAGCGAGCCCCAGAGCAGCTTGATGCCCATCAAAAAACAATCCGATGAAAGAAACCGAATGCTGGAACGACAACGGCTTTGTGAATGTGCCATGTCTGATAGGGTCGCTAACCACTGGTGTGGACCATTCCGAGGCCCACATAAACGAAGCCGCCAGGCACCAGCCAGAGCAATTCCCTCAGTCGAGTTCTTCATGCCGCTATGCCACGTCAATGACTGTCCACCTCGTCGTTTCGGCTAACTTGGTGCGACCACGGCGTATAATGCACGCCGAGGAAGTCGATCAACGGAGGTACAGATGACATGGCTTTGCCAATGTAAGCCGCTAAGGTTCAGCCAAAACCTGAGTGAGGAACCAGGAGGCTTCTTGCCAAAAACCAATTGATGGACCTCAGCACTTCACATTTCGTGTTTCCACCAAACGTGACCAATACTCCGCAACCACTGGTGGGCAAACACGGCCAAGCGTTTAGCGTCTTGGCCGTGAACTGGCCAGGTCACTGAACCATAACGTAAGACCGGCCATACCGCAGCGATATACAGACTACTTTCCACTGACAGGATGTTATCCTGCGGGCTATGTCGTCCGCATACTCCAGGTTTCTCAATCGATCGCCCGGCATAACTTCCACTTCAGAATAGTCTGAAAGAACCGAGTCATCCATGATCATTTGGGTCACAAGGAGGAAGAGGAAATGAGATATAGGACGATCCTGACGAATCCCACTTGTGCTGTGGAACTCGGGAGACAGTTTCCCGTAGACACATGCACGGCCTCGGGAATCACGGCAGACGTACTTTAGAATGATAAGGAATTTGGCTGGCACACCCTTCATGGATAGGCAGTGTCACAAGTTGGCGCGGACAACAGAGGCAAGGGCGGCTTTCAAATCATGGAAATCACCATAGTCGGTCGTCTGTGTGAGTGTTTCTGCTCCAACATGTGGTCAATGCAACAACGGCTAGGGTAGAAGCCAGTCTGGCTTTCGGTGATTCAGTTCTCACGAGGGAACAGTAAGTCCTCGAAGAATGATACCTGTAATAAGTTTGGAGGTAAAGTAAACAAGGACTATTCCGCGATGATTTTCGGACAAAGTACGCTAACCCTGTCTGAAGATGGGCAGAACGGTCGATAGTCACCCGTTTGAAGGCACCACTACAGTGTTACAAACCGAGTTAAAAAGAGAAGCAAGTCCGGTCAACAAACAGTCACCTACATCTTATAACAAAAGATGAAAGAAGGTCGTAGGGTCCAGGAGCAATGTTTCATTTCAACATGAAAAGCAGATGTCGAATCTCTTCCGAGGTGGAGTGTGTGACTCAGGTGGTTCGGGAAGCGGTACTGTTGCAGCAGGCCTGCTGAACTGCTCTTCACAATTTGTTCCGCTTAACGGGCTAATCAACAAGGATGAGGAAAGTTCAGCCGGTCATCTTTCACAGTTTTTGTCTCGCTAATTGATGGCTTGCTCGAACCCGTGTTCCGCATGAGCTGAAATTGCACTCCGCAGTTTCCAATAGCACTGGCTTTCTCCAGCTCACAATCTTTTGCAGTTCATCAACGTTCGCGATCGACTCGAAGACTGCTTATCAAACCTCGCTTCAGTGAGATAGGCACATTTTGAAACAGTGCTTATCCTAACCTGTTTCTGTGCTTCGATCAAACTGATCGATACTCCAGTAATCCCTTTACAGTTTTGACGTCTCAAAATGGGTGCACAGCAGGCATCAAAGGCGTTCTTCGGGGCAGACTTGAGATGTTCGCAGTCAGGATTGGGCTCACCAAACTAGAGGTATTGAGCTTGTCTCGTAATATGGCGTGGGTTTGAATGCGCGTATGGGAGGGCATCCTCGCGGTATCCTCAGTCCGCGTGCGACTGGTGGTGGTCGCACGGCAGCGAAGAGCCCTCACGGCGTACAGCTGACACATTGTTTTTATATTATTTCACCAACCACACTCATCACTGACAATTGGTGAGCCAAACTGTCATGATATTTTTGTACTGAAAACTACGTGTTCCAGTTAAATGTAAAAAGATTGGCAGATTGGCGTTGTTTTGACGTGGAAACAGTGACAGCCGAGCATGCACGAACTAGAGCATGGTCGGAATCTAGGCACGTGCTTCTAACTGACCGACAGTCTTGGACTGATGTGCGCCATCTGTAGCTGATGGCAATGCGGTCAATTGGGATCCAGGTCATGGAGGAATCTGGTGGGCGCCATGTGACGTGATGTGAACGTCTGTGCTGGTAAGCAGTGCCGCTGAGGCGAAGGCTGTGGTCGGTGCACATTTGCAGGAATCGATCACTGTTGTCTATTCGGCGTGCATCGGCTCAGAAGTGCCCTCCCAGGTGTTGTTCAGAATCCAAAAGACGACCCAATTGGACATTCAAGTCACCAGCAACAATTACGAATTCAGTATTGTTCGTCATGTGGAGAAGAGATGAAAGAAAGTAGTGGAAATCATCTTTGTCACCGTCTGAAATACAGTCAATAAGAGCACAAAACGGAGGCGATAAAAAGGCACCTTGCCTTCATAGGGCGTGTTAATCCTAATGGAGGTTTGAAGTCCAACCGCACAAATGCGTCTGTTCACCGGTATCTAGTCGAGTACATTAACTTCAACAATGTCTGCTAAAGGCGATACCAACAGCATAAATATCTTGAGCCATTGACTCGTTATCACCGGATACGCGAGGAGTGTGGTCATCGTCGCCAGACTCAGAATCAGGGAGTCGAAGATACGTTACAACGCCGGTATCTTGTATGTGTATCTCGGAGACACGGCATACATCAATACCAACTGAGGAGAGAGTGAAAGTCAGTGCTGCCTGTTGACAAATGTGACCGAAAGTAACGTAGATAAAAGAATCAATGCGGAATGAGACTCGTGGTTTGATGCGCGAGTTACGAGTATAAATGGCAACAGCAAAGATGTCAGTAGCAGATTCTTATTCAATAGACGTGGAGGAAGAGAGTTAAGGGGAAGAAAAAAGAAGAGGGAGAATTGTCGACTTGGTCGATGGGGCAGATTATACTATCCGTATGTCTGCCGACTGCGGTTTTCTTTGAGGTGGCCTACCTCTAACCAATGACTCAATAGTCTGGACCACAAGGCAGTGGGGAATGTGGACGTTCGCTTGAGGGACTCCACCCAAAACCTTTGGCTTAACAGCCTGACCCACAAAACAGTAGGGAGCAAGTCAAGCTCGGACGTTTGATTGCAGAGACGAATTGGGATCCGCTCGAGATCTGTGACATAAAGCGGCTTGAAGATTGGTAGCTCAGGTTGTTCTGGTGGCAGGCGAACTGTCTCCGTATCAGTATGCATTATGTGATTTATATTTTTCATCTTGTCATTTCAAGTGATTGGCTGTTGGTTGATATCTTCGGTGTGGCTGAGCTTGACGTGCAAGTTGACACGGTGCCTACATGTCTATTACCCATTACCTCGTCCATACTGGCTCCAGGAGACAGTTGGTCATTAGTGGAGGGGACAGGGTGCACGGTCCTTGTAGCGGTGTTAGGATCAAAGATTAGTTCCATGCATTCAGTGTGGAGCGGACTACGGTCCAGCCACCGCCTTGTGTGCGATTGATTCCCCAAATACAGTGTGCTTGTGTTTGCTGTGAAGGAGTGTGGGCCGGCTCCGTTGATGAAATGTGGCTCCCGTCCACATTCGAAAACATTTTTGTGTTCATGGCAATTCCGTAAAGTATACCTTCTGACCTCGTGAACTTATCTCGCATTCTTCTGTAAACAATTTACTTCAGATGCTCATTACTTTAAGATATATGTCACCCTTTCCCTATGCATTAGTCGATTTGTTTTCTTTTTTATCTTTCTCTCAAGTGATTGGATGTTGCTTGATATCCCCGGTGAGGCTGCGCTTGATGTGCACGTTGACAAGATGCCTACCTGTCTATTACCCTCTACCTCGTTCATACTAGCTCTAGGAGACAGTTGGTCATTGCTGGAGGGGACAGAGTGCACAGTCCTTGTGGCAGTGCTAGGCTCAAAGAGTGGTTCCATGCACTCAGTGTGGAGCGGACTTACGGTCCAGCCACCGCCTTGTGTGCGATTGATTC